GGCAGGCAGTGAAGCATCAGTGGCAACACTGATGTTGCTGTCTTTGATGATGATCACTTAGAAAGTGAGCCTAGGGTTGTGCAACACTTCTATTGCTGTCTTTGATGATGATCACTTAGAAAGTGAGCCTCGGGTTGTGCAACGAATACTTCTATTGAAGAATGTGTCTCAGTTCCGCTGCTCGAACGGGCCACACACACCTACATGCAGCAAAACACCCCGCACTGTAGCCCGACACACACATCTCTTTGTATTCAGGAATATATTGCTTTGATGCCATAGGTATCCCAAATTGACTAACGTGACCAGAGCCTTGCAGATTCGTGCATCGACCTCATCTGTCAATCTACAGTGAGAAGATACCTAAGACGCTCCACAACTTGGAGTGCCTCCCCTGGCTTGTAAGTGGCGTGTTCAGTGATTGCATGTCCGGGAGCATGACCTTACCCTTTGTGGGTGCAAATTGCGCACCAAAACACCTGCGTTTTCTCTGTGACAACATCGAAGTGGCGGCAGCTGGTAGATTCTAAGGTCCGCTAACTGTTTTTCCAGCTGCGACTGCGGGATAAATTTGTGTACTGTCGTCAAAAGTAGACTATTTTGTAGCCGTACGACGGTTTGCCTCCCTCCGTGACCTATTGACCGATGCCGTTATGACACTTGTAGAGGTTCAACCAACGCAGTTTTGGCTTTTCAGGTTAGTAACTTTTGCGGCGGCGTAACCTAACAACGAGTGTGATAAGAAAAAGTCGAGTCAGTGAATCCAGCTATAAATTACTTCGTTTGCATAATGAACAAAAGGAAACACGATTGAAAACTGCCAAGTTTCCCCAGCCCAATCAGATATTATTAAAAAGTAGGATTCAGTAACCATTCAGCTAAAGCAATGGTCTTGCAAGGAATTCCTTGGTGTGATTGTACTTCTATACCCGTTTCAGATCAAAGCCACTCCTGAGCAAGTCAAGGCCTTCAGTGAAAGCTTGACCAAGTTGGGTGACGTTTACGTAAACGATGCATTTGGTACAGCCCACAGAGCTCACGCGTGAGTTATTGTTGGAATTTATCGTATGAAAACTGTTTTAGATTTCAACCACGCTCAGTCCGATTGTTTAGTTTGACATTTCCCAGCCCTGCGAAGTTCGGCAATTTACTTTTGCTGTAAAAACAAGCTGTTCTTTGAATTTTGTTGGAGAACAGCTTGGTGCTTCTCAGTTAAACTGGTACATTTTTAAATTTTTCCCGCCAGTTGTTCCATGTAGATTGTGATAATGTGGGAGGAAGAGGGCGTCAACTATGCCGCTTTTGTAGTCCTATTCGCACTGTGATTCGGTTTGATCGTTGCACTGTTTTGGGCTTGTGGATGTGCTCTTAAAATTTTGACCGGTTTTCACAACCAATCCTTTACTTAACGTGACCGATCAAAGAACCCCTCGACTGATTGATCGTCCAAACAAGAGCTCATGCAACCAGGGACCCTACTGATCCGACTGTGTACGGCAAAACGAAACATGTATCTCTGTTTCTATCTTCAGTTCCATGGTTGGCTGCAAACTTCCGCAAAGGGCATGTGGATTTCTCATGGACAAGGAATTGACCTACTTTGCCAAAGCTCTGGATCAGCCTCAGCGTCCTTTCTTGGCGATCATTGGTGGGTACGTCTCGCTGCAAATGTTTTTTTACACCTGAGCTTTGTTCTGTCTGCAATATCTTCATATTTGTGGCAGTAGTGTCTCAGCTTCTCCGTCCACTTTTGATATTCTCTACATAAATGGGCGTATAGAAGCGAAACACAACTGTTGTACACTGATAACGATGGTGATGTACGTCTCCGCTTTACTTTTGCTTAGCTATCCCACGCGTTTTCAGGAAGTCTCGGCTTCTGAAAAATGAGAAAAAAGTTCTGGGCTTCGCGTTTGTGCTTCCTGGTTGGACTCTCAATCCAACGTTGCCACGGTTACGAAGTCTGCTCCACTTTTCATTATGTCCTAAAGGGAACCTGAAGATCATTCGGTGGACACGATGTTTCAATTCAACGTTTAGAGAGAGTAATAATAATAATAATAGTTCAGCTGTAGAACCCTTTCAGTGCCTATCTGCCATACCAGCCGAAGGAAGCACAGTTCTGCGATACTGCCAGGCCACCTAGACCTGGACAGGAGCAGCCGAGATACCGCGATTGGATTCGAACCACGGCTTTTCTGGTCAGTAAGTTCGCTCCTTAACCAGCGAGCCATCTCAAGCTATCCGGAAACATGGATTTTAATAAATAAATAGCCTCCTTTGATCGCTCTATGTGGTGAAACCCCTACTTGATAGAACCACAAAGCTGATTGCGTTGCTCATATATATTAGCCAATGCCTACACTGCGCAGCTACTCACCTCCATTTATTGCCTAATCGGGGCGGGATAGCCCAAGTGGTTAGAGCGCAAATTTTATGACCGGAAGGTCCGTGGTTCGAACTCGACTTCCCCTGTATAGGCTTGGGCAACCTGGCAGTATACCAGCCCTCGTGCAACCTTCGGGTGGCATGGCAGCTAGGTACCGAAAGGGTGCTGCAGCTGAACAGTGCCTAATCGACGAACGCAACCGCATATATTACTTGCTTCCGATTACTACTGGGGGCATCCAATTCAGTATTGTTTCTTGTCAGCAGGACTCCCAACTCTGCACTCTTGTGGTTTTAGCAAACGGAACCTATTGTTGTTGGTGATGAGCGTGATGATCTATAAAACATCGTGATGTGAAGCCCTACTAAGTAGTTCGAAAACGGGGTGTATTAGTGCTGCTTGTGTTCAGCCTCATCTGCCTAAACCGATGCTCTCCATTCTTTGTCATGAACTTCCTCGTGCTTCTACCCGCAAAATACCTCTTTTTTTATCACTTTCCGTTTTACAGAGCTAAAGTCAGTGACAAAATTCAACTGATCAAGAACATGTTGGACAAGGTGGATGAACTGATTATAACCGGAGGCATGGCTTTCACTTTCCTCAAAAAACTCCACAATATGAAGGTACTTTAAAGGATGCGAAGTTTCACCCTGTTTCACCCCCCCCCCAGCAACCTGCGTAACACGCCTTTCCACACATTGGTTTTGAACCTAGCATTTATTGTTGTTAGGGTTGTTAGAAATGCGCCCCGATGCACATCTTCGGGTTCATGCTAGTCCTGTTTGAACTGCTCATTTCATTGGCATTTACCAGCTTAGCAAAACTCTGGCTCATTGATAATCCATCCTTGAGGGTATTTGGATGAAACTGTGCCAACCCAAAGCACAAAAACCCCAACTGAATTAAGCACCCTTCACTGTGATGCTTTACCGGTATTTTTACATGACTGAATCAAAATTGCAGCATGTAGGTGAGCAGACCAGGGAGTACCGATTCGCTGAAAAATTCCTTTTGGCTATTCAAGGTTTCTTCTGTACCCTAGCTTCTTTGTCCATTGGTGCATTGATTTCTATCATTTTTCTTGGTAGTGCCTGCATTCCTCTCATTGAATTGGTGGGGAACAGTGTCCCATTATACATCTGCCTTCGATTTACAGTTAAACTGCCCCACTTCTGTGGTTGGTCTAAACCCGCAACCCGTGTACGGCCGTAATTAAACAAAGTGAGACTGATTTGTTCATGTAACCCTTACTCTCCGGTCAAGTCTCACTTAAAGGACTAATTGCATCATGTTGACTGTGCCAACCCTTTTTGTTCTGGATCTTTCGGGTGCATGAACGAAGCAATCCTGTCCAGTTTCGTTTGGTTTTTCCCGGCGGATGAGCCGCTCGAGGTGGTAAGTTTCTGGGTAACAACTGAACGGAATCCCAACTCACTTCTATGGGGTGAGCCAGATATCCTCTACAAGAATCCGAAGAGTTAGGAATGACACTTAACTGCTTTCAAGTGATGGCGCAATAAATTTCCTCTCTTGAGTAAGCATGAGAAACTACTTTGATATAAGAAACCGCATCGTGAACAAAGAACTGAGGGTAATCATATCTCCACTCCCTGGGGCGAGATGGTTACAGTGGTTAGAGCGCGACTTTACTGACCGGAAGATTCTTGGTTCGAACCCGACCTCTGCCTCTCGGATTCCCCTGTCTAGGCTTGGGCAACCTGGCAGTATCCCAGGCCTCATACTTCCTTCTTGTGGCATGGCAGCTAGACACCGAAAGGGTGTTACAGCTGAACGATTTATTTATTTTTTCCTGAGAATATACAAGATACCCCCTCCCCTGACGAGAAGACATCACGAAGAAGGAGGTTTTCCGATTTCTTAGTGGCGTGCGCGTTTGAGGGGGGGGGATTTTACCTGATGTGGTCTACTGAGAAAGCCACCCTAGATTTTTCAGAGGATTAACCTTCGGAACAAGGGTCTCATGGATTGCCACTCCAGTATTTTGGATAGTTCACCATACTAATAAACTCAAGGAGGGCTCCTTCGTTGGCAAAAGTTTTCCCATTACATCTACCCGGATCCACGATTCTTATGAGCCACAGTTTGGCTTCTTCACTCCCAAGAACACACGTCCCAATGGAAATGCATTTTGGCATTAACTCAAATTCTTCAGTCAACTGTTAAACCAAATAAGTACGGTCATTTGTAGTGTAACGTGTCTTGATATAGCTTAACATTTTCGATTGTCGTAGGGTACGTCGCATGTATTGGAGCATATCGCATGACTGCGGCGTGGCATAAGGTTAGCGAGATGTGATTACTCGTTACTAACAGGACTTTCAACAGTTACAGTTGACGTCTACGTCTTCCTTGATCATTTGTTTTCTATGGTTCTAAATTGGGCCTTGCCTGTCCGCACGAAAATCACTTTTATTCTGCACCAGATTACTAGTGCTGACGACCATTGCACGGGTTTGTCATTTTAACACTGCCGCATGTCCACTTGGTAGACACATTTGAGGAAGCCGTTTAAGGTTTTCATAGATGATCAGTTTCCAATAACCCGTTTACGGTTAGTTTCAGAAACTTTTTTATCGTTCATCCCGAGAAACATTTCGACATTCTCTGGGAAGTTTCGTCGTGCGTCAGAGTCCGTAGTCCAGCGTGCACTACTGATCTCTGAGGAAACTTGCGGAACAGTTTTGATGCCCGACGAACAAATTAATCTTTTGAGCTACATGTAATTTTTATGGTATTACAGCATTACTCGCAGTACTACTTCTATCTATTCTCCAGATTGGAAAGAGCCTTTACGATGAACCCGGGGCTGCCATTGTCGACGAAGTGATGCAGTTGGCTAAATCCAAGAACGTTAAGATTCATCTACCTGTTGATTTCATAACCGGAGACAAGTTTGCGGAGGATGCCAATACTGGCACCGCCACGGTCGAGTCGGGCATACCGGACACGCATATGGTATGTCCAAATGAACCTTCATACTAGTGTCCTTCTGATGCCCTGAAATTTGGTCCAGTTTGACTACTTCTTGTACATGATTTCAGGGCTTGGATTGTGGTCCGAAAACCATGGAGGAGTTCTGCAAGGTAATTAGTCGAGCCAAAACCATTGTTTGGAATGGTCCGATGGGTGTATTCGAAATGGAGAAGTTTGCTGGTGGTACGAAAGCAGCAATGGATGCAGTGGTGGCTGCAACAACCAAAGGTTGTACGACAATTATTGGTAAGTTGACCGTAATATGCATTTTAGAATCTCTCTGCTAGGTCGATAGCAACATTACTCATCCTCCCCATTGCCTCCCCATTGTGTCCAATTGTGCTTATTCTTTTTTGCCCGTTTATCTGCTGACTTGAGCTGGTTGTATTGCAGTCAGGCAGTAACCTGCCAACAAACCTGGTCGAATTTGCAGTTACAATCTCTCCTGAGGGGTGCCGCGGAGAGAAAGAAATAAGTGACTGGGAACACATGGCCCGGTGACGCTGTTACCTAAGGCCTATCCAGAATGGCCATTTTCAAGACGTTGGGCGCTCGCGAATTCTTCTGTCCACAATGCTATTGTGAACTTATCCTCTTCGGTCCGCCATCGTCCCGGCTCCTTTCCCGCCGCCGCCGGCTAACAATGATCTGAAACAGGGACTGGTGCATCGCATAAGGTTGTTTGTTTATTCTCGTACAGAAGCATCGTCTGCTCCGGTGGAACTTTGTTAAAAAAGCTTGTTATGGGCCAGTTTTTAAGTTATTCCATCTAAGTATGTATATGGTCTAACAAGCAATGTAATATTTGGAGTGTAGATTTTCTCAAGACATTGTTTCGCCGTTCAGAGTCCCGATTTTGTTTTTACCGTCTGTTTGTCTGTCACACTTCACTTCATTCGATAATATGGTATTCGGGTGAAGCAGATCTTGTTTTTAGTTTTTGGCTTTTCGTTTTTTTGGCCCATCATTTGCACCGCACCAGAAAACGTCTGCCGTTTTATTCGCAAAACCGTTAACCTTTGTCCATGACTGAAAATAGTGAAACAACGTCTGCTTACCTAGGTTTAGTTTGCGCACCTCCTCAAGAGCAGCACAACTAAGAACGAAACGGAAGGTTTATCTTTGTTTTCAGCGCGTATAACGGGACCTCATTCGAAACACTAGTGTTGCTCATCTCGACATCCCCACAACGGACACAGGGTCAGGAAGTTGTCCTGTGTTTGAAGTAACCCTAGTAAACCAAGTGGAATTCTAATGCGTTATCAAAGCGCTGTTACTTTCATCAGCATCTGCGGACAGCGAAAGGGACAAACTCAAAATCATAGCCATCCAGTTTACGTAACGTACCGTAGCTCAGCGGTATCCAATCTCCATGTTCTCTTGGTTTTCTCACCACTATAAAAGGCTACAATTTTGATTACTTGAGCCTAACACCCCTACCTATTCTAGGGAAGCTTTTTGTTTAGGTGGAAACATCATATTCGGTTGTTCGTTGCTATGCTAGTTCACTGTAATGGTCCTTGCTTATGTAATTAGAACGGTCTTCATGCTGTAACATTTCTGACATCCACTGTCCATCCAGTACTATATCTAGGTGTGAAATGGCTGTTTTTAGCTTGAATTGCTCGAACTGGGTTGCTTGGCAGTTCGCATTGATATATAATCAATTATAATAGTTTTATTATCAGCTGTGTAATCTCTAAAGACGTTAACCAAACGCCATTGGGTTAGTCATGGTATGGCGTTAATCTTTCGTTGGTAGTGCTCTATTTTGGATTCTGACTCAGTACTGATATTGTTTGGAGCTGATCAGCGATAAGTTTCTTTCGTTTCCTTTCAAAAGAATCACGGCGCTGCAGGTCCTCTTAGTGTCTGAACCCTTTTCAAGGTCCGTCTATGGTCTTTATTAATACTGCTGATAAACTTCTAGGCCTGATGCTTCTCAAGCGACTTTGCCTATGTGCAAGATCCAACTCAACAGTCTTGTGCCCACGATTGAAACAGTATCCTGATCCTTACTTAGACTTCCTGTCGCCACGGCTTTGTATTTCTGTGGGCATTACCTGAAATTCACCCCATGGCCCTGAATCATCTGAGGACTGGGCATGAGTAATCATCATAGACGCCGTTACCCGTGCTTACCTTTGTACACTAGTGGGTCTACTATCAGAATGCTCGAACATAAACAGGATTGTGATTTAAACCACCAACCTAAGGCAACGCATATCATAATGACATAAGTTTTCAGGGACTAAGCGTACATCTTCCAGCCCCCAATTTCGAACGGTATCCGCCTGGCACGGAGGACTGCTGATGTCTTGTTGACACCCCCAGTGTCGCTCACTGGGCAGCAGCGATACACAGACCACCGCACCTTGATGGATGCCGTAATTTACGTAAGACTTACATGCTGGGATAGTTCATTTCATCACTACTGAATCGTTGGGCCTAACCAGACTAGCGTTAACCGGACGATTACAGTGTTTCCCCAATTTGTCTTCTTCCTCGAACACGGACTGGATTTCCATAGGGTTCATTTCTTCCACTCGTTGCGAAATTCGCCACCAGATTATGGTATGGAATCCCCTATTCAGACACTATCTTAGCCCTGGTGATTGCTTCATTGGCATAGCAGCTGTGCCCCGAATGGATGTTGCAACTAAACGACTATCATTTTATACTGTGCGCTCACACACAACTTTCTAGTCTTTTGTGGAACAAACTTACGGGATTTCCTCCCAAAAAAACAGGATATCTAACTGAACTGCTCCAAAAGCGCTTCTGCGCTTTTGGATCCATGAAAGCCACCTTTTTGCGAACAATGTAAGATTCGTACCGGCTCTTTTTTTGCTCAGGTGGTGGTGACACAGCCACTTGCTGTGCAAAGTGGAAAACAGAAGACAAGGTCAGTCACGTGAGCACTGGAGGAGGGGCTAGCTTGGAGCTGCTTGAAGGTGAGTCGCTTACTCAGAAAACGATTTCCACTTCCCATGTCTTACGCGGTGCAAACTGACCTTCACCTACCTCAATAAGCTCTATGTGACCCATTAACTTAGTTATCAGATTCATGGCTGTTTGAGCACTCCTGATGGGAAATGACCGTCGGCTTTACATCCAACTCTTAAAAAGGGCTTTACTATTGTCGTTTATTTTTGAAGAGCACAACCACAAACATAAAGTGCGAGCAACAGGTATAAAATAGTGAAGTAGAGCACATAAAAAGCGAGAAATCCCCCAGACGAAGGTGTGTCATCAATACTTTTTGAGTCAGGCGATATGATCTCTAAGGTGGGTAAGAATGTTTGGCATGGAAACACACCTGTAAAGACTAGCAAATGAAGAAAGGACTAATAATTCTGAATGCTCCAAAAGGCACAGCAAGCGCTAGCACAGTCAAGATTCGCAATCAGACACAAGGTATTCATCGTACGGGGTCAAGTGTGGAAGCTATTGACGTAAAGAAACACTCAACACCGTGCACCGCGCACATAGGTGTCGTAATTACATAAGGAGTCCTAAATGGTGAGCAAACAAATTACTGTAGGAAACCTCAGTCCAAAAACAGCCTTCGCGGGGTGAGGAAAGCAGACATTGCACCGCGCACATAGGTGTCGTAATTACACAAGGAGTCTTAAATGGTGAGCAAACACAAATTACTGTAGGAAATCTCAGTCCAAAAACAGCCTTTGCGGGGTGAGGAAAGCATACGTTCCGGGATGATCCATTTTTGTATAAAGTGTATATATCACCAGTTTTTGAACCAGAGAGTCAACATCTCAATCGTCATCATCATCATCATCATCGACAGCATGACATCAGTGTTCAACACCGATGCTTCACAATCGATTGCACCTTGTCAAGCACTCGTCAACACCGTACTTTTGCTTCTCGTTCTGCACAAGCATTTCGAATCTATCTGAGGCTATGGTTGCATCTATCACCATTGCCCGGTGCTCGTGAACGGTGATTAGGTCGGGCTTGAAAAACGTCAAAATAAGTGCTTTTGAAGACGGTGTATCCTATCCGATTATGACGTGTATATCGAGCACCGTGTGTAATCCAGTCAGGCCGCAGAATTTGAAACACAGTCACCGCTTGGCCACAGTTTTTACGATAGGACCGTCTTGTCACCATCTTCGGGCTTCTCTAATTCCAGTCTCCAGTAGGTTGTACCGGAGTGGCATACCAAGGATAATGCGGAGACACGCGTTCTGGAATCAAGACATTGTTCTGAAACAAGCGAAGCGACCAACTCTCGCCCTAAGAAGCAACCAACCATTTCTTGGTGTTCATTGCGTACCTTGGGAACTGATCGAAAGATTGAGATCCCGAACAAGCTTATCAAATGCGCGATCACCAACCACGTAGACAGCAAGTTTTCCATATGCGCTTTCCGTCGTTTCGGAATGGTTGAACTCAGGCTTCGGATACCGAGTCTCTTATGTTGTTTCCCGACGTGGGTGTAACCGATTGGGGGTGTTCTTTAGTCCTAGTCAACCACGAATAGGCAACCCGATACAATTGTCCAATCTTATGAGGGTATTACGGTGGGCATGGTCGATCAATAGCGAATGGTGTGAGCCTCGATCTTAGGTAGTTCCTTGTAATCTCCATTCAACGGAGCAGCTGCTGTCAGTGGTTACAAACTCTTTTTCCCTTCCAAGGTAAAAGGGACGCTCAAATAAATCACGGTTTTTGTTGGGCTCAGGAGATTGATAAGTTTCTCGGTAAAGCAAAAGGGTTTGACTAAAATTGCGGTAGTCTGATGTTTCCTGTCGCCAAAAATCGCCACTTTTATCTTGGGAGCGTTGATAGTCATACTGGTCCGTTCCACCTCATCCTCTTAAGGCAAGGCTGATTTTTTGCACACACCACCCAGTCGTCTTCAGGTAGCCACTAGGTACCCCCGTTGCAGGAAGTTCATCCAATCCCACGATGAACACTATCGCCTTACCCCTCTGCGGCAGTGAACCTCTGATGGCGAAACTGTCATGGTATCATCTAAGGACTGTGCAGATTATGGATCTGGGAGTTACGATGCTCTGAACACCTCGGCAGATACGGCAATTATCCTCCGAAGCGGAATCAAAAGCCTTCAAGATGTCTACAAACGTCAATATGAGATTAGAAGCAGCCTCTGCGGGGTGACGATGCAAACCACTGTCTTGATTTTGAAATCCAAACTGGGGTGAAGACTGTCAATCAATGGACACTATGAAAGCGTCGAACAAGATTGGATGACACATAAATCGGTCTCAGTTTGTCCAGTGAAGTCGGATTTGGAGCCTTCGGAACTCGAGTAACCCGAACACGATAAATGCGGTGGATAGCCCTCCAGATGATAACAGAAAGTAGAAATACCCGGTTTAATCAGTGAGCATTATGGGCGTGGACCTTCCCAGACCTGGAGAGATATTGACCTTCAGGCCAACTTCCTTGTAATTAGCTCGATCAAACTCCATTCCAATGATTGGCTATCCCTCTGTTTCAGTCCAGAGGACTCATGTATCCAGTACTAATAGGTGTCATAGAATAGGCCGCATTTTCCCTTGTATAATTCCTTCCACAACGTGGGAGGCATGGTCAACCGATGACGTGATCGCGAGCTATGTGGGCGTTGACTACACCATTTAGCAAAAGTGACAGATGTTGTTTAGCAAGTTGAAGACCTGACAATAGACTTCGTTTGCGGTTGGGAACACTTCCTGATGGTGCAACACGTCGCAGTCAATAGATCCTGTCAATAAAAGGGTTAAGCCGCTATGATCGCTTTCTATTGCCGCTCGTTGTAACCTCATTTTTCAACTCTCATTGGTTTTCGCGACCCTCTTTTGTTCGTGTTCGACCATCTGCTATTTTACCGCACCATGTGGCGCATATTCCCTTCCTTTCTTTTTCAGGCAAGCAACTACCGGGTATTCTCGCGCTGAGTGACGCATAATCATCACAGTTATTGGGGCTAATGACTGGCATCTAGTCACAATTGTACCGTAGCGTTTCCCTGTTACTTATGTTATTGTCTTTATTTGCACCGAAACATGCTTCTTCGTTCGTTAATGTCTGATTTGGAGTGAGAACCAAAAGCCTCATCGAACTGGGAGGAGTGTGGTAAAACCAGTCCCTTTTCCGGTCTATTTTGCGGTTCCGAACAACCGGAGGGACATCACCGAACGCCCTGTCTGCCAGAGATTCATCACCCTGTCTGCCAGCATAAGATTCATCAAAGCTAATCAGAATACCTCAAACGCCGCCACTTAGTTTTTCATGCAAGTAAACTTATCCACTGAGGGAACCATTCCAGAGTCAGTCTGTCTGTGTTTCGTTCCATTCACACAAACAAAGATGCAAACCAGCAGACTGCTTCCGGAAAGAATGTAATTCTACACATAGGGCATCATCAACATCATCATCATCATTGTCAGCTGTAATAACCGAGTACTCGTCGTACAGTGGTTGCATCTGCCGCAGTTTCGTTCTCCGATGATTTGGGGGTGGTAGGTAGCTGCGCATTGCAGGCGGGAGGTGATAAATTGGTGCATAAATCCGGCACTGTAGGTGGGTTGTCAAATGAGGGGATTGGGAAAGGAGCTATGCGTTGAAGGTAATAGCTTGGATGCACGAGCGCCATTGAGGCCACGACTGGGCCATGTCTGACAATGTCTCTAACCATTGATGTGGACCGTTTCGGGGTCCCCATCCAGGAAGACGGATGCTGTGGACTGAAACAAGCAGCTGAGGGGTCCATTTTGTGACTCTTTAGCAGTTGTCCTTAGCAGTGTCCATAGCAGTTGTCTCAACTTGGAAGTTCTCGAGCTATGCGTTGAAGGTAATAGCTTGGATGCACGAGCGCCATTGAGGCCACGACTGGGCGATGTCTGACAATGTCTCTAACCACTGATGTGGACCGTTTCGGGGTCCCCATCCAGGAAGACGGATGCTGTGGACTGAAACAAGCAGCCGAGGGGTCCATTTTGTGACTCTTTAGCAGTTGTCCTTAGCAGTGTCCATAGCAGTTGTCTCAACTTGGGAAGTGCTCCAAGCGCGCTGAAAACTCAGGGGGTACTGCCTAGTAAATACGTTAATCATGTATCTAACAAATAAAACCCTATGAGGGTAGGCTTCCGAAAAAAAATAATCTGACTACCGGTGAAGTCAGACTGACTAATTCCACGGCTGGTTAGTCATAAACCAACTGTGCAAAAACTGCCGATGTGGTTGTGAGGTCAGCAGCCCGAAACTGCTTATCAGATGTTCAGTTTGTTGATCGTTCTACGTGCTACTAGCGGGTCTTAATAAGGACTGTTTTTCAGGATCTGGCCACACTGAGAACCTTTTTTGTTTACATCAATGCCGCATCATTAGAGAAAGCAGAATTAAGGGGAAAACCCGTTGCGCACCTTTTTTCGGCGTTTGAGATTTATCTCATGACTGGCAGATATACGCCGCGTTTTGACCCGGATACTCTATGGGTCGACACTGGGCGAAGCCAGTTCAGTTGCTTGAATGAGTTCCTTGCGGTTGACTGTCCGTCTCCGTATGGAAATGTTGTCCCATCAGTATAGGCCGTTAATTATGTTTTTCCAATCATGGAGCAATAAAATGTGCGTTTTCCAGAGCTATTGTGGGTTACACCAGAACCTCATTCCATGCATTTGTACGAGAATGAACGTCATTGTTTGTCACCCTTGTTGTTGATTGTGCTGACCGTGTCACTTCGACTAGTCCATGGCTGCAGTTTGAGCTTATTAGGCGCACCCGATCCAGAGTATCGAGCACAACTAATTAGGACGCCGATTTTCCATAGTCACTTCAAAGCTCGACTGAATTGGTTACTTCGTCTGTGAATGGGACAACTGCATTATCATTCATGGCAGCACCGGTGCTTCAGTGCCGTGCAACCATGTCAGTTTATTTCGATAGAGCCTCAGTCGAAGGAGATAGGGAAGGGAGGGGGATTTAAGGCCGACCTACCACACTCATCCGAGATGCTTACCCCTCTAAGACAGCCAGACAATGACGATAGAAACTGACAGCATGAACGCCACTGATACCACTTAGCCACCATATCCTGCCAAGCGCAGCGAGGATCTTGTGGACTACATCCTGGAAGGCAAGCAGCATCCAAACCTCGTGATATCCTCTATTCCCTTCTACCTTGTCAAATCCTGTCCACTTCTAGATTTCTGTCGCTCAGAATTAGGCACGCAAGAACACAGCGCCCATCTCGGTACGCGTAACATCATCATCGACAGCATGACATCAGTGTTCAACACCGATGCTTCACTTGTAACATGGCCTAGCCACCTTAACTTGCAGTAAAGGAAGTACCCTCTGCTTCACGAAAAACCCGTCTCCTAATCACTGAGAGTTCGCGAACTCCAGCTGTATTTCTGAGACGTCAGCGGTCAAAGACCTGATGCCCACAGTTGCATCTTGATTCATCCACATCGTGCGCGCGATTGTTTTCTGGCATCTCTTATGTCGTACCCTGCGCACGTAATGCCTCTCTTCTGTTCCGTTCAGTCTATCAGCTCTAAATCGTGTACCAAAAACACATTGGTTTCAGCTACTGCAGTTTCGGTCATCGGAAAAATGGGAGAGCCTAAAAGATAGCCAAGCGTTGGGGGTGATGGCATGATCCGTCAGTTTGGAAAACGCCAGCTACTCGTTGAAGATGATGGCTCTGATCCTTCATCTCTACTGAGTCTGTCACTGAGCCATGTCTGCTAATGTTGTTAACCATTGATTAGTTGAGTCCCGGGGTCCGCATCCAGGAAGGTGGCGGTTGTCGGTTAGCTTTTCCATGTTTCGTTGCCAGGTCACAGATTGTCCACCTTTCGGTCACTTCCACTCAGCACAGGGTTGGGCGAAAAAAAGCCCTGCGAGGCTGACGGTCCTCTGAGATATAGAGTATCTCCCAACAATCGTGATCTATGGGGCCCGGGGAACTAATTCTACGCGAGAACCCTCCCTAAAAGCCATCTGATGTACCTGAGTATTGTTACTACGGTGTTCGCATTCGACACTACCAATGCATCCATGATCAATACTGACTGCCTCCGTATATCCTATGAATGTAGAGGCAACATTTCTGATTCATGAAGCAGTGCGGGTCGCACCGCCGCAGTGTAAGCTCTTCCTTTGACAGACAAACTGAGGTCACGTCGGCACCGTAGGTGTAGGAGATAGGTATAAGTTGTCTTGGTTCTCCCTACCCGAGAACTAATCTCATTTCCAGCCATTCCACCGGAACTTATACAACTGCCAGGTAAGCTTATTTATCTGCCACCCCTATTGGCAGTATGCAAGTATGGAGTCTGGGCTTGATCCCAAAGCTTTGCATTTGTGAAGGGCGTGCCAAAGCGTTCGGCAGAATAAGTTAGTTTATTTAAAACGGATCCGAACCAAGGAGGGGATGTCTTCCGCATTCTGAGTGAACGCCACGATCCACGAGGTTCCAGAGTAGTTTAAAGCAGCGCATCAGCAAAATTGAAGCGGAATGTTGAGAGAGGACAGTCCTGTCTTTCACCACTGGAGGGGTGAACTCAGGCGGAAGCTTGCCGTATACTCGTACGCGTCCACAAGAGTTCGCATACAATGCCCTCATAAGGAATATAAATTTGGAAGTGACACGTTTAGATACCAGACATCATCGAAGTCTCTGACAATCGCCCTTAGATAAAGAAAAACGAATGACGTAGGACGTTGGGAAGAGTGTAACTGTTTAAGAACCCGTCTCAAGGTACTACAATCGATGCATCTTCGGCTTTCTTCTCACGACAGTCGATCAACCTGCGCAGAATGATAATGCCAGAGATCAGCCTTGATGACGTGGCTACCAGATTGTTTTCGCATAACGTTCTTGCGTCTTTTTTAGGCCTGGGATTACGGGCGATGCGCTATGTTACACTGGTATTCTGTTCTCGCCCCAAATCATCCACAGTAGGGTTATCAACCTTTTCACCAGGGTTTAAATTTTGAAAAGTGCGAGGTGTACATGGTTGCAGACAAGTTTTATACAACTCTCAAATTACACAAAAGCCTCGCTCGCATCAGTCCCTCTGAATTCCGAAGACTGTTGCCTTGAAGCAGAACAGGATTTTACGGGATCAATGCGAATTGTTTCAGCATTCAGCTGGAGGGACTAAGTGATTTTTCTAGTGCGGTGACAAAAAAACGAAGAATGGCATATAATTCCGAGTTCGAAATAACAACCAGTCGGTAGGTCCTCGCAATAGGTTTGGTGTGTAGCCATTGGGTAGATGCGACTCGGCTACACACACTATGAAAAGCCTATCCAATTAATTAAGCGCTCTGGGGAAAGCCAAGCCCATTTTCCGCGATTCGGTTTGGACATGGATACTCTAAAACTGTTCAGAGGACGATCTAATTCGGTGTAGCCGTTGGACTAATCACTGAGGAACCTTTTCACGACTACAATACCCCTGGAAAGCTTTATGGTGGCAGTCGTGGGGGTTAAAAAGAGGCCATTTTGAAAAATGTACACGGGAATGGTCCGCAGTAGTTGCTTGGATCCTTAAAACACCTCGTAGCCACCCAGCCAGGACTTTCAATTTTCAGGTACAGTCAGTCGGAAGACAACCCGCAGCTTTCGGTTGTGGATCCTGCGCCTGTTTGACTCGGGCCACCAACGCATTAGTCTAGCCATTCATCTCATTTTCCCTAACCACATATGTCGGAAATGTGGGGTAACAAAGACCACTTTTCTTAACGACGGAATCTTCAGCTTTTCGCTGCGACGCAGGACACCATCCGGTTGAATAGCTTTCCCCGAAAACGAAAGAAAAAACGGAATAAGTCTTAGTCATAGGTGTTAGATATATGTGGTGTTGGAATGACGATTCCACGGTTACTTTTGAGCTTCATGGGCCGTATCAGATCTGGATAGGGGAGGAGCCTTGGGCTCCAAAGAAATGATGCTCTACGTATGGTGGGTGGAAATATCTAACCAAGAGTATGTTGTAGCAGCTCCTTACTGGGTTAGTACCACCGTAGTTGAGTAGGAGACGGGTTCTTATGGGTGGAATAGGAAGATGCTGGATCGTATATATCCTTCTGCTCAAATTATCATGAATGATTGTCATGCGTTTACTGAGGGCCTTGTGAGAGGTATGGTAACCCTGTGGTAACCCCCACGGAGCGCTGACGGTTGTTTTTAATTTGAATCTCACGAAACTTATAGGTAAGCACTAATCACACCTCTCTCTGTTGTTAAGAATCTAACACTGCTTGATGGTCCCCACAAATACGCGGTGCATTTCCATCAGCTATAAGCAGTGTGGCCCCAGTAATAACATGGCTACCATTACGCTGTCCTATTGCATTCAGACTTCGGTTTCGACTTGCAGACTTCTGTTCTCTTATCTGTTTGCGTAAGGGCTTCGCGCTCTACTCAGCTGGTTAGCCATGAACACCATTGTTTTGCCCGATTTTACCTAACCTCGGTAGATCCTCTTTACTCAGAGTATGGTCTTGAATTTTTGACTTGTTTGTAACGGCAGTCAGTCGGCCGTACAAACTCTTCTAGGGTTTTCGTCAAACTTGCACTTTGGAGACTGGCTTCGCAATGTGAAATTCGAAAGGGACCATTCGAATCAGATACGACAAGTTTGAATTGGGCTTCTCTGTGGCTTGGGAATTAACTGACGACATGCTTATGCAACCCTGAATTGAGTTAAACCGATGTTCAGGCCGCCGGCCGGATCTCCGGTGAAGCATAAAGCTCTCGGATACCTATAGTTTAGAAGTAATCGTATTTGTTTTCTCCCTAAAATTCTTTCTGAGGGTACAACTATCTACCAAAACAAAATGACCAGGTTGGAGAAATGGAGAGCAACTTACTTTGTTTATCGGTGGAAAAGAACATTTATAGCACAGTGAGACTTAAGGAAAGTAACCTCCAAAGTTTTTGACCATGAGCAAGTGTACGAAGGTCTGCAGTTCATAGGCCAGTTGAACGCTGGCAGCAGCACCTAAAATACAGTTTTGTAGTTTTCTTGTGGGGAGAGGAGAAGGCTCTGTGGTCGAAAGGAGTGAAACTATTGATCTCTACTGATTTCATCCATGCGCTGACAGGTACGAGTTGCGAAAAATCATCCCCCGGCGCATCACAAAATGACTTCTAATGGATCAGCTCTAGCTCTCACGCCTCCTAATGTATATCACGGGCTTATGTAGCGTACAGGTTTGCTAAACTATGCTTAGAAAAGTGCATTAGTAATCAGAAGCGGAAATCCAGGAACCCCGAGATCTGTATGTCCTTCTAACACGTCGTCATGTTGTTGGTGAAATGAAACGGTTAACCAAACGGTTTCGTTTCTGAATCCTATATGCCTATTTGATGAGTCCAACTAAAAACGAAGGAACTCGTGTCTTCGAGCTGCTCACCAGCCAAACGCGTTTCTTTTTCCACATCCGACCCTATTTTACTTGTATGACATGGTAGTCAAATTTTTCATGAAAACTGACAACTGTTCAGACAATACACGCCGACTGCTCACTAGTAGCCAGGTAGTTTGGGAATTCAACCGTGGGTTAGAGCATGATTCACCTTCACACCTTTCCAAATTTGGCTTGTCTGTCACCTTTTAAAGCATCCGAGATGTTGGTAATCGGAGATGGCTTATTTGGTAGCAGCCCAAACCTTTTTTCGACTCAGTTAACACCATTTGCGTTTTCCAGTGCGGTTCAAGTGCACTGGTTCTGAAATGAGCTCACGTGTGATAGCCCGATTTGCGCGTGTCTAGAGTGTACTCTTTATTAGTTCCATAGCGTTTCTCGGTAAGGTACATTTCATCTATCACTTTGAAAGCCACGTGACGAGCTAAATTCGAATTCAGAACCACCCAGCACAAGCGCAGTCTATTTGATTTAATTGAACCGTAAATTATGAGGATAAGAAGGCTCCTATAGGCAATCGAACACCAGCATCGACTACCAGTGTACTTTTATCAACTCATTGTGTTGCTGTTTGTACTGCACTCGCTCAATGCAACCTCCAATCAACGTTCAGAATTTTGTTTTTCGCATGCAACATGACTCCAGTCGAGCAACCTTGCGGCCACCAAGGCGAGTAGAGTATCGGAATCATACTAGTCAAACGCTGAACCGAAATTTCGGAACGCATTCATACCTGTTTATGGTGACAGGAGTATACTCTGAAACAAATTGAACAAACTGGTTGATATATATGCATGGGTCTGCGTAACATATATAACGTAATAAGTTCATGCGGCTTTTGAGCCCAGATAGTTGTTGAATATGAGTATTGTGAGACAATGTACAATGCTTTGGTTGTGCCTGTGGTGGCTGGCATAGCTGCATGAAACCCCAGTCAATAGAAACAACTAAGATACATCAGCGAGAAAAAAAAACAGACGTAATGGTAGGTAGATTAAAACAAGCGGGGTTGAAACTGCTTGATTGGCGTACGTTCAGGCATGTGAAGGTGTTAATCCCTGGTCAGGAAAACATCACATCCAGTTCTACGCGAAGCATTGTTGACAAGTACATCCACGGATCAGTTTCACCGTCCTGTCATAATTGGGCCCGTGTAAACAACGGAAACGGACACGGCGATATTTGATTGTGGATTGTTGACAGCAACTTGTGGCTGACGTCTGACCGACTACCGATTCGATGCTCTGTTGTGATTGGTTCTCCCAGCGTCGCTTGCGCAAAACGAGTTCATGTGGAAATTCTGCTGGTGAATCGGTTTGGTTGGACGGACATATTCCGACACAGTTTCGGACAGTCAGTTTTCTTGTCGAAATGCAGTTTGTATGAGGGTCGCGAATGTAAGATTTTTGGGTTTCTTGACGGCATGTTTGAGCTGCAAACGAAAATCAAGTTCATATTCGAGCAATTTGCAACATTGGTATGCACACAGTCATCGAAGAGTTGGGTACGTACTAATATTGTTCAGTACATTCCAGATGTAGAGCGTGAATGTGTCACTAACCCATATGACATTTGCCTCGTCTGACTTTTACGATAAACACAATGCAGGATAAACAATACCACTCGTGGTCAATCTGTTTTCAGTTCCCCCAGGTTACTCCAAGCTATGAGGGCAAATGGATCGAAATTTGACGGTAGTATGAAAAATTCCCCTATATTTTCACAAAGTAAACTATTCACAAGTTTGTTGGAAACTCCTCGACAACCCATGACCGGTTTCGCCCTTTTTGAAGCTCATCAAGTAGGTGCAGTCCCCGAGTTTCCGTCAACCTTATGTTCTACTTGAACCCAAATTGGACTGATTCCGACGAATACACCCATTTGCAAATCAGTTGGGTTTTCACGAGAGACTCAACTAAGTCTGAAACGACTCAGTTCCTTAGAAGTGGGTGAAATGACGATAGTTTGTTTCGATCGAGGAGACATTACCGGACACTGATGACCCAATATTAAGCTGCTAACGATGGTCGGTGTATGAGTCATAGCATGGTCGAGATTTCCTATGACCGCAGGGTCTTCCACTGGCTGTTTACTAGGCTACTTTCATGTGTCACGCGACTTTCAGTTCGTACATCCTCGAATAGCATTGGGAGACCATTTTACTCCCGATTATCATGTAAGTTGAATTTAACTGAAAAGCTCATGGAAGCAAAATCCTTCCTAATTATTGTCCATATTTCACCGACAACCCCATTCTAAAACCGAGCATTAAATAAATCCTTCAAGACCAAGACAAACTGATTATCCGAATGAGGTAAGCGTGGAAGAACATCATGATATCGGCAAGTTAGGGTAGACTCAGCTAGCTCAACCACCGACGTTCCCTTCATTGGTACACATGACGGTGATGTGAAGATGAAAGTTTGCTATTCGAGTGCGTTGTGAGCAAGGTGGCTCAGTGTTTAGAGGGCGAATGTAGTGACCGGAAATTCAGTGGTTCGGACCCGACCTGCGCCTCTCGACTTCCCCTTTCTAGGCTTGGGCAACCTGGCAGAATCCCAGCCCTCGTGTTTCCTTTGGCAGCTAGGTACTGAAAAGGTGAGCGATTATCATTATTATTACTCGATTGCGTTCGAATATAGAAGTTGGCAGTTTACCAACATGCATTAATCGAGAAATCTACCTTCACTGTTTTATCGTAGTTGTGGTGGTGAGCTTCCGCAGACGAATGGGACATCAAAGCCCTTAGTAGAACTCCCTGTGGATATACGCCGTGAGAGAACTGCAGTTCAAACAAAACCATCTGAGCGGAATAATACAAAATATAAACAGATATCTCAAAAAATCAAGTATATGACTAACAGTCTATTCATCTGTCGTACGAAACTAAAGATTGGATAGATCCCTCCGACTAGGGACCTACCCCTGGACCTGACCATTCTAACCAGATCCTACTGGTAGATCACAAACGGGTGACTACTGCTCTGTGAAATGTCAATTTTGTACCCATAAGGTCTAGTCGAGTCGTGGAGTTCATAAGAAAGACCGGAATGTTTCCAACCAACAATGCTCACCTAGAACAATGTAACTGATTCGTGTTCGCTACGGTTTGTGGGTATCTGTTTCGAACCGTATTCTATGCATCGCCGATTACGGAGGAACGGCATACCGTGGAATTACGAATGCCGTTGAAACCTTCTTTTTTCCCTGGGATTTGGGTATCCGCTGGCCCCTGGAGAGAATAAGATGGCCTACAAACTAACTCCAGCTTACGACCTACTCGTTATTTAACCGGAGTTCAAACTGATAGACAAGCGACGTGCATTCCGCCGAAGATCCTTCCACATTTATCATTTCTTGGTGGGATAATCCTACTGCTCACCAAATATCAAAAAGCGGCTTCTGAGCTTCAATGCACTCTGAACGGAAGAGATTTATTGGCCCACGGCTTATGATTAGGTTTCACGGTAAATGCACATTTGTAGTTAGATACATTGAGGTTGAAGCTATTCAAGCACAAAATGATGAGAGTTTAGTTTTGAGAATCCACAGGAAACCTATCACGGGTTAAAAGTTTACTGGGCATGGGACAAGCAGTCGTTCCATAGCTGGAGTCTTCACAAGTATTTTCCACATCATCCTACTGGGATTCACGGGCATGCAATGTTTTTGGAGAATTTCACGTGACCTGCAAACGAGCCTAACGAATACGGAATCGACTTCTGAATGTTGATAGGCGGGCAAATTGAGTATTGTACTCCCCCTGAAGTATTGGCGAAAGGTATGCTTTTGCATTGTGTGATGAGTCCAAAATCAGCGAAATACACTCATTTTCATGCCGATTCGGTTTTGACGGCAGACTCACCTGGAACCCAGCAGAATCTCGTCTATGATGTTCTTAAGTAGTATATGAGTCCAAGATCACTTTTTAAAATTGATGCCCGCAACATGGATACGCAGACGGAAAAAAACTACGATAGGAAGTGTCTGCGTTTAGCGCACCAGCGCACCTAGGCACCTGGCGTGCAGGAGAGCGAAAACGCGCAAAAAGTTCCACGAAATAGTGTTTCTTAAAACAGGATTCCTTGCAATTTAGGCTGCTGAAAACTCTTCAACAGCCCACGACCGGCTTCGAACTTCTTGTGGCTCATTAGGTGGGTATAGTCCATCATATGCGAGAGACTCAACTATATTCATTTGAACCTTTCTAAGCGGAATTCGCATGCAAATGAGATTATTGGTCGAAACATTGCTTATCATAGTATATTGTATGTGACAATAGCTCAGTCTCGCACTAAAACAGTTCCGGTTATCCCCAGTCGAACGCTTTCGATATCAAAGATTCCAGACAACTTGTGGGTATCTTGTAGGACTAGGGTACGTATATTTTGTGGATAGTCTGATTACGCGGATATATTTTGGTCAGTATTCACAAAAGATTGATTTGTCTGAAAAGGCCTCACAAGCCTGTCTCTGCTGTCTTTTATTGGCGGGTGGGATACACCTCAGGTCGTGGGGACCTGCAGGCCAAACGGAGTGCCTAACTGTCGGATGACGATGGATTTGCTAATTGCCATATCATTACCAGACAACAATTCAATGCGTTATGGAGCAGAATTCATCTACCAGCATTGGTGAGCGCGACAAGAGGAAAACACGATACCAATAGAACCGGTATACACAGATAGTCTGATTAGCTACATTGCCGGGCTGAGTTGAACTATCTGGAAAGTTGTCTCCTCGAACACTGTCTTTTCTAGTCGTGAAGCCCTCTTGAAACCTATGTGATCGTTTCCTTACTGTCTACAGTGGTTGTTTTAAATGTCTTCCAATATGCTGATGGCCTGTCGTATCAGTTTACCGCTCCATTCCGGCCAGGGAACTACTGACCAATAATCTGTGAGACCCAGTATTTACACAGCACCGTCATTGGGTGGGATCACTCAGTGCTGATTGGCTCAGTTCGAACTACCCAGACTTGGAGCTCATTTCAAATCAGTGATAGAGGAAGCACGAATACGATTATCGTTGAAGCTGATAACTATATTCCATTTCCCAACGTTGAACGGAACAGTGCAGTTAGGCTGCACGACCAGAAAGTACAAAGTAATCTTGGGTCATATGTTTGGCCCGCCCTGACGTACACCAGAGTCCGCAATGAAGCAGCGCACTTTGTCTGGTATGACAAAACTGCGGCAGGCCTTCAGTGAGGAGTCACCTAAGATGTGAACACAAATCAGTGTGGAGTGTTGAAACCATCTCCACGCGCGTACTAATGGTGAAAACCCTGTGTACACAAACAAAAGGCTAACAAGACTGAGCATAAGTCAGTTGGAGTAAAAATTCTTGTGGCGCTGTCATTCCAAGAAGCGACCGAAGATCAACCTAAAAACCAGACACTGGTCTCCAACGTAAATATCATCCGGAAGTTTCATTCACAGACATTTTCACACACCACGACAATCTCGACCTTGTCGTAACGAAACACATGGTAGATTTTGGAATCGAAGCTTCTGGTTAGGATTCCTAATCTTCTATGGGATTCCAGATTGTCAGTTTCCTTGCCAATTTTCTTTCTCCTCCGCATATAGTGAACCAGACTCCAAGTTTTAAAACACGTTTGCATCGTCAGCTTTCTTCCTCACTACCGAATAAACCCCATGTCCTTCCGAGTCACTAGAAAAACACCAGTGGTACCTACCGATTTCGCAGTGTGCTCCTGCATAACCTTGCGTACATTCACATTTGAAAGTACCGCCCGGCAATGCAATGCACTGACCGCCATTTTGACACGTTCCATTTAAACACGTACCAGTTTGTACGGCCGTTATTCCTGTCGGTTTCTTGGTCATCGGGACTGTCCAGTCTGGAAGTTCTTTGTCTGACTGTCGTGGCTCTTGATCATCAGCCTCATCCGCTGTTTCTTCATCTGGTTGATGCTTGTCACATCCAGGCAATATTCCGATAGCCGTCCCATGGTGTTTTGCCTCAGGAGACGGGCGCTCAGATTGTCGGTCCCCGCTTCCGGTCATCCGATCAACAGGAGCACCGAACAGACGGGCAATATTTGTCATACGATCGTTGATTTGTATATCCCGAATACAACCTGAGTAAAGGTAGAAACAATTGCATTTTTACACTCAAAGACGAGCTTGAATGCTTGTTGGGGCTGTAAAAACTCGAGGTTATTCGGGGAGGCTATTTTTCATCTATTAGGTATGGAATCGGCAAGAATATGTTTACAAATCAAGAGCAGTAAAAAACCTAAGGAAGATAAGTTCCATTGCATTGATGAGGGCAACGAGACATTTACAAATCAGCTGCCCAGCTCAGTAAATAAGCCAACGTCTAGGACTGCAGTGTTCATGCGTCACGACTGATGAACCTATCATCAGGTTCTCCTGACTGTTGACTTTTGAAGCTATGGTGAGCAGAAAAACAATGGTTTTAAAATTAGAGCCGTAAGTAGCTGACTTCAGTTGGTTTCAATAGTTAGTCGGAACGTGGGCGGAAGACACTGAAACAGCGTATCACGACCCCGTACACCGATCATCCATGGCAGTAACTATTCTATACCGTGTGATTAGTGATCAACAGAGGGTGGGATGCGTGAATCCCACAATGTTGAAGTTACACATCGTCTGATATCTTCAAACAAAATTTCTTTTACTCTCTTACACGGCTATAAATTCGACGGTTCGTGAACATCCACATAAAAGTATTCCAGACAGTCGCTGGAATACTGTCGCGCTCTCATCCTACTTTCTTCGCATTAACCATCCTTTCTGGCTATCAGTTAATCTAAGGTCGGAAAAGGGAGATTTGCGAAAACCGTGGTGATTTTCGGTTTGGGTGAAAATGCGTAGACAACATGACCATTCATATAGGAAATTGGGTGAACCGCTGTGGGACAGCTAAAAATGCAGGGCTTTCCTCAGCTTGAAATAACCTTTGACTAGTTGTCCGTCAAGGACTGTGATGGCCTCCTTCGGACCAAACTGCCCCAGCAATAAAATTTTTAAAAAATCGTTCAGCTGTAGCATCCTTTCGAGCCTAGCTGCGCTTGAAATAACCTTTGACTAGTTGTCCGTCAAGGACTGTGATGGCCTCCTTCGGACCAAACTGCCCCAGCAATAAAATTTTTAAAAAATCGTTCAGCTGTAGCATCCTTTCGACGCCTAGCTGCCATGCTACCCGAAGGAAGCACGAGGGCTGGGATACTACCAGGTTGTTCAAGCCTAGACAAGGGAAGTCGAGAGGCAGAGGTCGGGTTCGAACCACGGACCTTCCGGTCAGTAAATTCGCGCTCTAACCACTTCAGCCATCTCGCCAACTATCCCAGCAAAAATTTAGGTATTTTAAAATCCCACATGTCACCTAAAATTCGCGCATTGATAATGTCTTCCCGATTGATGGCGTTCTCGAGCTGAGTGCCAATCCTGGAGAACAGATCAACTGCCAACGCATCAGCAACAAAGACTAAAGTCCCAGATCTTGTCACTTTCGATGAGCTTGATGAAACCTCTTACACAGGACTAAAGGCATATGCGGTGCTTATCTGGTATCTGATTTACAAAAGCTGCTTGCCATCGACAGCAGTCTGATACACACATGCACAAACATTCTAAAATTATAAACTCATATTCAACGACGGACCTCAAAAATTTAACACCGAATTCCTCAACGTACCAGTTACGCCCAGAATTCGTTTTTCATGCAGTATTCGACCTGCTGTCTCCAACCGATCTGCAGGGGCTCCGCCGAAATACAACGGGTTGTTGAGTGCCAAGTAATGAGCTGTCGTGTCGATCACAGAATTGCTCATTGTAAACGTTGGGCGCTGTATCTGCCATTGATCATCAACCAATAAGGTCAAATTTTCACCCTCCACGTGTAACTCAAATTTGTGGAACTTGCCATCATTGATCTGCCGGTAAGTGGAAAACAAGCTGTTATTTATGCTGTAAGTTTACAAGATGCGACACGCCCTGACCAGAGCTTACCATTCATCAGTTTCCGTGGGTTCACAGTGGGACCCAAGAAGAATGGAAAGCAGTCACAATATGTTTAATTACGACATTTTGACTTCGAAGGAAAGTGCACCGCATTCTAAGGTCAACAGTGTAGCGACGCTGATCGATCGGAACTTTGTTTATGTGCTAAACAATCCACAATCTTGCTGATTACGAGACGCAGTTCGCCGTGGTTGAAAAATACGCGTCACACAGTTGGCTGTCTCAGCTGTTCGAACAGAATGCAAGGTCCTTATCAACCTTAGTTTAACACCAAACAATAAAGAAACAACAAGCAAATAATCACAGATTGACCTACTGATTTCACCAATAGACCGGTGAATACGGGTAAGGGATGGAAAATGAACTTTCGTGTAGTGTCTGTTTGAGAAACACTGGAAGGTATGCAGATCAGTGAGACTGAATATGAAAGCAAGGATATTTGGCAGGAAGCCAAACATTGATTTCATCGCTATAAATCTAATTTGAGCAGGCTATCGTATGACACCCGGTGAAACAGTAAGACTCTGGGCCTAAATGTCACGTCAACTCTTCTCTTGACGGAGAAAGTTTGAAGGCATAGAAAATTTAGATCTTGCTATTGTAGTCAGTTCCATTCGACTTTTGTGGATAAAATTAAGCATTCACACCAGTGAACAAGATCTAGTCAAGAAATCAAGTAGTTCAAGTAGAACATAAGGTTGACGGAAACTCGGGGACTGCGCCTACCTGATGAACCCCAAGAAGGGCGAAACCGGTCGTGGGCTGTCGAAGAGTTTTCAGCAACCTTGTGAGTAGTTTCCTTTAGTCAACAGATAATTCATCGGTTTTTCAACAGAGGCTGAATTATCGATCGGGTGAAAACGAATAGGCCAGTACAAGCCATCACATTTATCACACTTATCAAATACCGATTTGGCAGCATGTTAAACCATTTCAGCTACATTAGTGCTTTTACAAACCATGTTGTCTACCGCTTTTGAATTCTCGAATGAAAAAACGGGCTTCTTTCAAACAGTAGGGATTTATTCAGATGAAGGTTTAGTTCCACATTGATCTTAACTAGGATAGTACCAGTTTCTTCAGACAAACTCAAGCATAATAATGATAAGGTTAGTAGAACTGTCACTGCTAATGTGATGTTCACAGTGCTACTAGGTCTTTCGCTATTTTCACATCTGTCTACCTCAAGGAAGTTTAAGAGTGCCACGAGCCTATCTGACCGCACATAGGCACTGAACCCATACGATCGATCACATAACACGGATATGATAACGCAGAGCGACCACTTAAGAAGAATATAAACTTCCACCATTTTTTGATCAGCAAGTTACGTCCTTTTAGCACATTTTACTCAACTTTCAATAGAGTATCCACTAATTTTTCTATTACTCTGTGGTATTTGCCGTCATTTCCTCGACTGTTTTAAAGTGCGACGAAAACATCTTGCCGTGATCATCCGGTTATACTGGATTGAATAAAATTCTGGATCATGACTTGGTCAGTCTAACAAATAAATTCCACGGTATACTCCCTCTCTCTCTATTGCACCCTCTCAGTGCTTAGTTATCACGTTACTCGAAGGAAGCCTGAAGGTTGAGATACTGCCCAAGCCTAGACGGGAGCAGTCGAGATTCCAGGATTTATGTTTAACCACAGACTAACCGATCAGTAACTTCGCGCCTTGACCACTGAGCTATCTCGAACTCGTAGTGCACTACGAGTGTGGCAAACTATTGTGCCATGGTAGTGCATTACATATTTCTAGTGGGTGCTTAATAATAAAAGGGCAACTTCCCAACTGAACTGGACGGAATTGATTCACCTTTCTTTCGTACCAAGTTTCGTTCTGTTTTCCATCCAGATTTGCCAAACACCCCTTCCGCTTGGAGAAATTAATTTGCTTCACAGAACCATTGCGAATACTTCAGTCACCGAAAAAATATCTGAGCCTCCTAGATTGAACTTTTCTTCATAACTTGAAATCGTACCTCCAAATGTTCTGGCCATGCGCTTCATCCACACTTATTTGAATTTTATTTCAGAAAACTGTACGATTTTTGTCTTCATGTATGATAACTTGATGACTTTTTTCTACCGTCGCTTTTCCGGATAAGCCCCTCCACTAATGCGAAAAGTGCATGTGCGAAAAGTTAAGCCCCGCGACTTTTTGTCAACTCCAATTTGATGTACGCACACAACATTGATCTATTTTTGATGAAAACAATTCCTTATCCGAATCTAAGCTCATTTTGTGCAAAACCTTTCTCCGTTCGGATCTAAAACATTAAATGAACTTTCTAAAGCTTTCAACTCTAGTTCATTACAAGGAGACGGTAATACGTTTTTTGCAACGCCACCGAGTGATCCATCAGCAACGTTTATGCAACAATGGCCACCAAATGACACTTTCAACTGTTTCTGACAGGTGGAGGTGTAAGGCCCACCAGTGTCGGCAAGAAATCGGTCTTCGAAAGGGAACTTATCTGGAGCGGTATAGGATGGAGTTTGGGAAAGTAATTCTGGTGGTCAAAAAACTTGGCAAAAATCAAATTCTGCTCAGGCGTGAATCGCTCCTGGCTCATTCATCATCTCCGATATGTGGGCATCATACAAAGGAATTGAAACGATGGTTGACATGAAATATATTCTTGCAACGGTTAGCCGTACAGAAAACTTTGTGGATCCAACGACTGGAGCTAACGCACAAACCATCGAATCTCTTTGGCACGCCGCACGTGCCAATGCGGCACACATGGATCTTTAGTGGACACAGTTCATTTGGAGGCAAAAGTACCGAAAACCGAACCTTTTCATGCAAATTATTACCAAAAGTACATATTTCACATCCTCTTTTTTCTAATCTTTTTTGGATGGCGAGGGTTAATTCTTTTGGCGGGGGTTATCTGGAAAAGATCCGACGCTTTTACTAAATGAAATAGAGTCTTCCATTTCCATGTATTCGCTAGCTGATTACATCTGACGCTCATGAGTTTCCCCTTCAGTTGCACAGACATGACTCAGATGGTACCAAATGTTACCTGCTATATCTGCTGATTCGCCAATCTGTTGTATCTGACTGCTGACCCGTTCCAGTGCATAGTGCCGGAAAAAAGACTCACAGAAGGGAACACAACAAATGTATTCCGAGCAGTCGAGTGCGAGAGCGTGAATGCCAGCGAGTGCGAAAACACTGCGGTCTCAAGCTATTTATAGGAGGGACACTGTCTGAACTTGGCCCAATGCTGACGCACGCGGTCTGGTTTTGGTGCGAGGCTGTGACGCGTTGCATATTGAGGGGGCGTTGTTTGTTTGGTCAGCATCTATCGTAGCTGAGGGTCTCAGTAGATTTCGGGAATTCAGGGGTTGCTTTCAGGAATCTAACCTTCCTGATAGTGGATCAGCAGTTTATTAACTACCATAGTTGGTCCACACAGCTTGATTGCGTCTGTCACTCATTCTCACGTTTTTTGCGGGCTGGCACTCCCATCAATTCGAGCTCCAGCAAGTCACGTGCTATTCTTTAATTGATTCAAATCAGCTTTCTGTTAGCTCATCTTGAAACTCACCGTTCAAGACAAATCCATCCCGGTGGACATGGGAAATTATCGCTTCCACACCAGTGGCTTGTAGTATTTTGACCGTAACAACGTTTCATACTACCGAGGCATGCTTGCTGACATTTTTGCGGATCTAACCGCCTAAACTGCTACTGTCGCTTTTATTGACGCATTTCCTGAGTGAGTTCATTAGATCACAGTTGGGGCAGATGTGTAACAATATGACTGGCTGCACATCTGTAATGTCAGTCGCAGTCCAAAAGATGACATTGGACAATATTCTAACAAACAACTCACCCTTTTTGTCGACCGCTGCTGATGTACGGCAGACCGGTTGATTGATAACATGGCCCTCAAGTAGCCATCAGTCAAATCCATCATCAGATAATGCGCCGGAACTTCCCCGTGTTCGGTCTGCACAGTCTCGGCATAATACATGACCACCCCGGAAGATGTGTGTGTAGCCATTTTCAAGCCGAGTGAACCCCGTGGGACAAGGGCACCGCGGCTAGGTGGGACAATTGCAATGTATGAATGGGGGCTTGGAAGACTGATGGAGAACAGGTTCTCGCAGTACTGCCCGCTAAATCCTGTCAGGACAAGACAAGTGTTTCACATGATCATTCTTCTAGCAGCTTTAAACGATGAGGCAAGAATAACTAACTGCCGAAGGGTTCACAAAATTCATCTCAAATCTAACGCTGTTTTTCAACTTTCATTAAGCCCACCCGCCTTCACTGTTGTTGTTCCTAGTGTGTATTTTCGGTAGAGTAACTTGAGGTGACATTCAAAACTCATAACAATTTTTACGATCCCAATTGGAGTCTTATGGTCAGTCCACTTCAACCTTCTGTATCAGAAACGACTCAAGAAGACACGGTCATCGTTGGGTTACAGCGAGAAAAAAAAACAGACAGGAACAGATAGGAATCCATTAGTCAAAGGCTGGATAACGTTACAGGAAACGGGAGCAGGGGATACCATAGAATGAAGCTCATCCGTCTGTTCACAATCACCAGATTTACTTCTTGTGTACAGTCCGAAACATCGACAGACAATCTGTCCATCCACGAATCAACCAGCTAGTCGGAAAACTACGTTCATAAGGAGGTTGGAGGGGCTGCGTCAACCTGGTCAGCCTCAAGAGGGACAAAACTAGTCACGGGCAAGCTCAGGAGTGGTCTCCTTTCTAGGAAATATTCTGCGATATCTCGAATATCAAGCCAACTGAAAAATGTGACGAAATTTGTGTAGTACATCTATTTGGAGAATCTCACAGACGAGGAATTCAATTTGGATATAGTTGGGTTCCCAGTTAATACGAAATTCACGTTCAGATGGGTATATTTCGCAGACTAGCTGGCACCATGAACACCCAAATGAAGTTTATTGGAACTGCTTGTCAGCATAATAGGAGCTATCGGAAATATTAAAGTGGCAGCTTCCCAGGAGTAATTTGGACAGCCATCTGTTCTCTGGTCCCCCACGGCAGGACAAGTAGAGTGTCTTTCCGTCTGAAGTTGTGCTGATCTGGTTCTACACTGGTCGTGGCATACCCGATGAGTTCCAACAGTGACGAAAACAGATGTTCTGGGATTTTCGGATGATCTTGTAACTATCCGGCCACCCACATACTTGACTGTTCAGCTCACAGTCGCTCAATGGATCACAAGACTTGTCTTTTTTATACTCACAAACCGCGTCACATTAAGGTGACTCACCGGACATCGATTATCTCTGCCGTCTAGTGAGCGTAGCAACAACTCATGTGCTGACACACCCATGCACACGCAAACGGACCTACATCTAGGAAAACCGAACACAGTCAGCACACACAGACTCGCGCGCGCAGGGAGCAGGAGGTCAACCACTCCACAAGTTCACGGACAACTATGGAACACGTGTAGCAGCCATGCTGCGGAGAAAACACGTTCCCGCCATCCGGACTTTCACCAAGGAACTCTCACAGACGATTAGTTCCTTTTTTGACTTGCTCCCATTTTGCAGTGTATTTATTTTCATACATGTGGCATCTCACCATTGCCAACCATACTAAAAACCCTCACTAGTGCATATACCTTCTGATTTGTGTAATGGTCATCGTCAGCAGTGCGCTAATAATATCTCTAACCACTGGTCTTGAATTTCTTTCGTTATTCATACATATTGGACGCTAACTGAGCATAGCTATTCTATCCAACTAACTTGATATAGCTGAGTAGCAATTGTCGACTTCCATAAACTCTGGTCGCTCGTGATATTCATCGATTATTTTTCAGTCGTTGTTTAAACCACGTGATCCAGGTCACTGGATGTAGGCCCTAGTTCGCGTTGTTCTTTCACGTGGTACTTATTTTCTTAAGGGGTTGAGTGGTAAAAAGTTTCCGTAAACGAATAAACCTTGATACAAACAAGTGGAAATTCGACGAGGAAAAATTTATTATAGGCCAAAAGTACAATGTGTATATGTGCTAAACACCTCGGGACGGTGTTCAACGCCTTACCAGGTTGGCACCGGCATTGATAGCCATCCGTTTGGCTATCCACACAGGTCGCCATGTTTTGGCACTGGTGGTATGCACACGGGGTTTCCAAGTGTGGAATGGAAAGTGATCGGATCTTGATTGGGGAGTGTCGAACTTGGGAAGAGCCAACGCCCTGATTTCTACGCGCTGCCGATACACGTCTATCCATGCGGGTAACATGGTTCTCCGGGTTCCACGTTGGACGTTCGCAGTAAACGCCTAAACGTGTGAGAAAAGATTGTGCTTTACTGGTGTGACGGTGATACTACTGATGGAGGAGGCATGCGAGTAGTATGTTTTCTCGTGAATCCGCTTTGCGTCTCTTGAAAAGGGAGATCTATTGGGGAATTTGTGGAGTCGCTTCGTAACATCTTGGATTTGAGCAACAGTCAATGAATATCCAGGAAAGTTCAGGAAGACGCGTTCAAGAGAAGATGGATGTTCGGTTTTTGTGAATAAGATGCAAATGAGAGTTTTGCTTCCCTGTCCAATAGTCTGTAACTGTTCAGTTGGCATTTTCTAATGAATAACTCCGCAGTGAAGGCCTTCTTCCTTTAATTGGTGGAGAGCAACAAGCCTCAGCATATACTGTTCGCATGCCACAACTCAGTTACTCGATAGGCCTTAGCAAAAGCCACCCAACCAAGATAGACTTCTTGCATATGTTGATATATTGCCTCGCTACACATTCAGTTAAAACCCACTCAGATTCTCCAGCTGATTGGTTCAGTACGGACATATTACAGCAGAACCTTGCGTCTTGTACCCTAAATCGATTTCAATACCTGAGTGAGATATGTCAGGCTGCCAGTATTTTGAGTGTCGCAAGTTGTTCAGTCCATTGATTTATTTCGAACTGTGACAAATCAGCGCAGTCATCTCACACTTATTGCAGTAAATCCAAAGCATCGGTGGGGTGTGCTCATCTCAAGATATCTTGAAGGACTGGCTTCAACAACTTGAGTGGTTGAATGCGACTGGTTGTGGATCGGCCTTATCAAAAGACTAATCTATGGAAAGTCAATGTACTAGAGATAAAAAGTTTGGGAACAATCCGGGAACTGCTCCTTATCACTCTTACGAATACCCTCTAAAACTGAGAGGAAGCGTCAACGACTGGCTGGTCATCCACCTGGGTCATTGGACGGAATCTTTTCGATTGTGGGACCAAGAAGTGGAACACGCATAGCCGTTTTGCAGCACAGCTGTGACAGAAAATCCGAAGGCTTTATTACTATTTATAATATACTTTCTATTGAGCGCAGTGCACCAATCCTCAACGGCTAGCACTATGGGGAAAATGCCCACGGTACTCTCATGGAAAAGTGACCCTTTTTCTTGAAGGTATCACTTAGAGGATTGGTTCCAGTGAGTTTGAAGACAAAGCGACGACTTGCCTTAAACTATTCAATTTGTGATCAGTTGTTCTAACTCGAAGAGAGTAAGTGAGCAGGACGGCAGCTAGGGCAAAGGAGGCAAATTTCACCTTCCTTTTTGGTCGTTAACACTGCTGCTCAGTGCCTCTAGGTTAAAATGAACTAGGTCGAAACCTTTTATCATTTTTATCCAGGACGACCAAAAGATACATAGTTCCACCGTTCCAACAAAGCTGTATGTCAAGGGAACTTTCTTTGTTTTACTGGAATTGTGTGCGAGTAAACAATGAAGAGCAAAACAGGTTGATCGCTTCATACTATGCATCAAAGCTGTCCACAGATCTGTGATTTTACAGGGTTGAGTAAGTGATGCGGAAACTACTAGATTCTCCATGCCAACTGCCTCAACAACTCCAAGGAATCAGCAGCTTCTATCCCGTATTCCCTGTACTAACGTCATTTGGGATTTAGTGGTTGGAAAAATCCCTAATTTCGTCCACAAAAACGGGGCGCTTCTCTTTTGATAGGCAAAAAATCTTTCTGTTAAGCAAAGACAGTCGAAAAAGTAATTGGCGTTGGATACTTTCTCCGATTTTACCTCTTTTCATCGAACTGAATGAAATTTGTTCAATATTTTTCTGTTTAGGGAATACAGTTGTGACGATTCATTCTGAATACTCGCTCTGTCTCACTGCAATACATCCCTCATGTGACTGACCTCGCCTGGATCCATAACAGAAGTATTGTAGTTGGTGGACAAGTGATTTGGGTCACATGTAGCAACCGCCAGCCCGTGGGTCGTGTATTTCATCTATTACACAAGTTTGAATCATCAAGCTACTCTGATCATCTCTCAGTTTAATCAAAATTCGACGAAGGCATAATATTCGAAAAGTTCCAAGGGCCTGAAAAAAGTAGTAGCCAGATCGAAGTTTTTCCACGGAATGGATCTTCACCAACCTGCATAACCTGGTCGACACTTGCATATGTATTCATTGATTCCGTCCACACATGTGGCTCCATTTTCACACCGGTTGTACAGACAGTCATCTTGATTGATATGACAATTCTTTCCGGACCAACCACGTTCACATTCGCATCTAAATTGCAAACGGTCAACAATTGAATCTGAACTGAAAGTGACTCACCTATATTTGTTTCCGGGAAGTTGCGTGCAGGTCGCTCCGTTCAAGCAGGGATTGACATCTTCGCAGTAGATGACTGCGCGCTGACAGGTTTTGCCTGAAAGTGAAGAAAACGATTGCCTAAAAAGCACATGCCAGTTAACTAACGTCCGAAAAGTGGCTTTCAGCATTGCTACATAGTGAATTTGAGTCAGCATAACTTTCACATACAGAGTACTTGTTAGGGCAAGTAGCCAGTCGATCAAAACTACCGAAGGAAGAACCATTTAATCAATTAGCCATTCACTCAGTGAGTGAGTCAGTCAGCCACTCAATCGCTCAGTCAATCAAGTGATTGGCCAGTCACTCAGCCAGTGAAGCAAGCAATCACCCTTGTAAGTGAAAGTTGAAACGATCGGCTTGTGAAATGGAGAACTGAACTCAAACGGAAAAGAGTCAACTGATTTTTGAGCTTGTTGCTCCCACGTAAAACTCAGAATCGGAAGTTGATATAACGTGTGACCAGGTAAAATTTGCTCTGGATGTTTTTAAATGGTGGCGATTCAGCTCGTATGCTCAAATAAAGAGCTTAAACATATGGATAGGCCGCTCTGCTCGCTAGTTTGTTCCCACTTTTGCATCTTGTGGTTTAAAACAAGAGGTCTCTCGAACTACTGACGCAATATAAGTAGCTCAAAAAGAAAAATTAGTTTATTCCACGAGTGAAGCTTCCCTGGGAAGTAGTCACTTGAGGAGCACATCAAAACATAAGAACGTGAAGTGAATCCAGTGCTCGTGGAATGCGTAATGCTATATGTTTTCCAAGAGCGAGTTGATGGAACTGGCGATTAGCTGCTTGTGGCCCAAGGCCTTACTCTTCAAATCTTGACTGAGATCGTGTGAATTCCACTCACCCCGTAGATTCGTGAGACGCGTACTGCTGATGATTCCCAATGCAGATGAACCAGTTGTACAGTGCTTCTGAGTATTTTCGTATAGACTAAGTGTGCGAGTTGATGGAACTGGCGATTAGCTGCTGGTGGCCCAACGTCTTACTTTTCAACCCCGTAGATTCGTGAGATGCGTACTGCTGATGATTCCCAATGTTGATGAACCAGTTGTACAGTGCTTCTGAGTATTTTCGTATAGACTAAGTGTACTGACATGACGAAAATTTCAATTGCTTATTGAGTATTGCGACCGTACAGATAAGAATGAAAATTCGATATCCAACAGAATCTGCCTTCTTGTTTTTTTACCTTCATGAAGGAAGAACACCAATGTTTCGTAACCACACTTGAAGATTTATGGTGACATCCGAGGTGCTGGGGATGTGTCAATAATTTAGGTTAACCTTGGGAATGATATTTCCTTTGATTGTTTTGAATTCCTTGAATACTTCTTTGTTTACAGCACACAGTAGTTGCATGCTTTATAAGGTTTCATTCCTAGGGTAAAAGTTGTTCTCCTTGGCCGTTAAAATTAGCTTGCAACAGTGAGGTAATGCGTTCTAAGGCAACTTCAGCCGTTTCTGAAGGACCCCAGCTCATGCCAGGGTTACACGGCTTGGTGGTCAGTGGTCAACTTTTAAAGACACTCACAAAATTGAGTAAGTCCATGGTCCTCCTACGACAAGCACACACAGTATTAAACAGCGGGCTTGTCAGTTGCAGGAGGTTACAAGATCTTGCTATTTCAGGGTGCTTTCAGGATTTCTAATGCGTTGGAGCACAAGGGTTTTAGCTGTTGCTAGAACGTGCACAATGATGAGCAGAGAAGCGACATGGGGAACTGCGTTAATGAAGTACGGCTTCTGGTAGCGGTTGACACGAATTCGACCATCCCTTTCGCACACTGTTTATGAACTGGGTTAGGATGGAATGCACTTTTGGCGAGAACCAAGAACCCTACCTATCTGACGATTTCAAAAAGGGAAAAAGCCTGTTTTGGTCTGTAAAAGAGCTTTCGGCAGCCCTGTGACTGGAGTTTTTCGTCAAGAGACTGAAACTTCGCACGATGCTAATTGGTGTTGCTCACACTAAGAGTTTTTAGAAGTCAGTGTGAACTGGGTGGCAAATAAAGGAATTCAAACGGACTGATTCACGTATTGGCGTGACGTTTATCTACTTAGGTTTCAGTAGGCAGTGCGACACGTATGGTGTGTACAGCTGACGGTCGCAAGTATCGCACAGTCTGCAATAACAACCAGTTTTCCGTTTGATCAGAAATTATTAATTCATCAAGGCGAACTTGAATACAAATCCGTTGTTTCTCTGGTGACATAGTTTGGAATGAGCGAAACATGAGTTCCGTGTACCATTGACATAAACCATTACATTAAAATTCGATGGGCTACAAATGGTACTAGGTAAGAGGGTAAGGGGTTTGTTTCCCCTCTAATTTTTTGAACGATTTTTATTGCATCAACAAAGCGGATCAAGTCAAGCTCTTCGAAGGAGGTTGCATTCACTGGCAAGCTTGTTGGGAGGCATGACCAGGAGTAACTGAGCCATCGTGAACAGAAGGTCACAAAAGCGCAAAGTAAGACACATTTTCAGTTCGTCTTTCTGTTTGCGGCGTCCATTCAAACAAGAATGACTTCTATGTTCACCAAAGAATGTCTAGATAAGAGGGAAGAATGCATCTGCAGTTAATTCTTTCACATATTTCTCCTTCCCGTAAATCCCAACCATACAAAGTCTGCGCTCGTTTCATGGTGCAGGGGAAGGACATGCAGAAATCGGTTGCGTGACGCGAAAACAACGTACTTTCACATCTAAATTCCGACTGCGCGTCATACATCCGTACACTTTCAGCAACATGTACATAAGTTATAAGTAACCTCGTAAATCGATCAGTTCGAAGCTGGTCGGTTCCCCTAAATCTTCTAGAATTTTGTGAATTTTGTACTTCTCTTACACCATTTCACCTACTTTTTTTTACACAGTTGTTCTTAATTTACAACATTTTCAACAATTACAATAACACTACTGGTTTGCATATGCTAGGTCACCATCAGAATGCATGTTTCAAACAAGTTCAAACGGAGATAAACTGTTCACAATTTACGATATGAGCAAATAAAAGTGACCGAAAACGCAGTTATTTCATTCCACTTGCTTCCGCTTTGACATCAGTTTTACACTGACACAAAGATAGGTTTCTAGAAGATGGTTGCAAGTATGTCTGGAGGTAATGACAGTCAAATGTCGGTATCCAGTTGATGCTTTCTCCAAGATCACTGAAATTTCCAGCAAACTTTCACTAAAGCCAGCGGTATATCTTTTTGAAGAATCACTAGGCAGCCGAACGTTCTCAACCTGAGATTTGAAATTATGGAGATATGTGGAAGGTCCCTTGAGACCAGGAGGCCGTTAAGCTTGTCCGCTAACACTCATTAAAATCGAAAGAATGGGGATTTTTTCAAGTCAAACAGTAAAACAACTAACCAGCCAAATCCTGAAACAACAGCGAGATGCTGTGAACATATGATAAAATTTACAACCCGAAGACAGTTTACGTACCGTGAAACTCTGGTGGACAGTTACATCGAAAATCGGATCCCAGCTGCTCGCAAGTGCCACCGTTGAGGCAGTAGTTATGTGAACAACTGTTGATACGTTCAGCACACGTTGGACCCCGGAAGTCTTTTGGACAAACACATCTAGAATTCCGGCATAAGACAAAAAGTAGGATGCGTAAAATGTGTTCAGATACCATGCACCAATGTACATGTCACAAGAACGAAGAAAGCCATTTTCAGTTCAGAGTAGTGCAATGACCTTTTTTATTTTTAGATGCACAATGCGTGCGAATACAACTCAAGTTTCCACAGTCCGTTCTTAGACTTCCTTCATATGTACTTTCCCCTCGAGAATATAGTATTCACAAATAGAAATAAAACTTTTACAGTTTTCTATAGAGGAAAATGTCGGTGACTCAGGTAGCGTAGATGGTGGTCGTTGGCTTGTTTGCTGAGCTGACAATTTGATTGCAAACGTTTCATCACCAATCAAGGTGACATCATCAGTGCGTTATTGGGGAGCGAAGTAGTGCGTAGTGGTGGGTTGGTGGTTATGCCACAACCACTTTTGTGGTTTGCTCCTGAAGTAAGTTGTGCAGGCCAATGAATGAAAATAAAGTGCATGTTAATCAAATTCCATTATCAATGAAACTGTGCATGGGTCATCTATCATCTTCAACCATCTAAGTTTAAGCGTTCCCTTGAAAAAAATGCGAAGACCAATCGACGTGAGATATTGTACTTGTTGCACGGTGCAACTTTCTCGAAGGGTAATTGTTCATCTCCCGGGTAACTTAAGTAATGTGGTGCTCCAACGTGACAAAACTCTACATCTCCGAGACTGGATGGGTGACGTATTCAAGTTGGAAATAGCCTTGAATGAGATAGCCTCTAAGGTATTACTCCACACAGAAACAAAAGTAGAACAAATGATATCCACTGATGGGGGCGAGATGGCTGAGTGGTTAGAACGCGGACTTTTGGACCTGAAGGTCCGTGGTTCGGGTCCTATCTCCGCCTCTTGAGTTCCCCTGTCTTGGCATGGACAACCTGGCAATATCCTAGCCTTCGTGCTTGTATCGGGTGGCATGGCAGTTAGACAGCGAAGGGGTGCTACAGGTAAAATTTCAAAAAATGACCCCTCGTTTGCCCATGAGAAATCGTGATACTCTGGTCCCAAAACCATACTGATGTAATCTAATTTATTTGATGACTATTCGACACTGAAAGGTGAATTCACTGCTAGCATCTCTATCGGCTACCGTTCAATGAGACTCAGGAAGATCTAAGTTTTTCTATACTATATATTCACGGCGGAACGCATTGCAAAGTGGCATCAGGTGAAGTTTAGAATAGGTTTCATAACAAAGTTATGTAAGATGTCCGTTATCCTCACACTCTGCATCCGTGCATCTCATATACACACGTTCCACTTGAGGAACCCTAATCCTCTTTCTAACCTCAAAGCTCACTCCTTGCGATTCGTAACGTGACATAGTTGGGGCCCGTAAGCACCATAGGATCAACGAAGCTTTGTATGAAACTACATGGTTTGGTGACCGTGTTTGACCCAGTTTTTTTTTACATTTTCAAACCGTTCACAGGAGCGACTCGTTGTTCATACGGTTCCAGAATAATATCGATTCCGATGTATCACCAGAATGTAAATGAACCTGCCATCTGTTCTTGCGATATGGTAGCTAGCGGAGAGCAGCAGCGAAACTCCTCGTTCGACAACATTTGAACGAGTCACAACACTGCCCACGTTAGCGAATCCGCCCGTTAGTGTCTGTCAGATCCTGCTCAGATAGTCATGCCAACCTGCGCTGTACGGACAGCGAATAAGTTAAATCTAAGATCACTCAAAACTCATGCGAACAACTTCAAGGGAAGTTCATCAAGGGATTTCTAGAAAAGAAACGAAGATGTTAATCCTTCACAGAGATCACTGATGATGCCGAAACCAAGTTTAACGAACTCGCTCCAGGGCCTCTGAAAAATATTATTCCCAAAACTTATTTAGTATGCTTTCTTCAGAACCCTACTTTACGCTGCCATGCCCATCACTCTTCAAACTTCTAGCCTTCTACTTTGTGGCACTTAAATTTATTTCAAATCTTAGTCAATCAAGCTGTTTATGCTTTCTCACTAGGATTCACTGCCGAACTTCTGGTCATGACCGGATTTGACGCGAATACCACTACCAAGAAAATCGAACATTTTGGCTTGACGTCGATGATTAATAGGTCCTATAAAGCAGATAAAATAACTGCCCAGACGTTAAGATTAATGGTATCAGCGCGATGCAAGCCCAGGGTCGTAGAGTTTAGTCGTTAAACTGTCGCTGTGGGTATCACTTTGTAGAAGAAATCGTTTTAAATCCGTCCGCATTTGTGTCAGATTTGAGGTCGCCTCTTACACTAGCGCTATTTGAAATGCCTGACGGAATGGATTCTTTCGTCATCAAAAAAGAGCCGCCGAGTTTGTACCTCCAGGAACACCTATTGTGGAACAGTTGCCAAGAAGTATCATAGCTTCCATGACGATCGTACGACTTCCCTCACTATCCAGCAAAAGTAAAGCACATTTGACTTAATTCCCAAGGCTTTTGTCTCCACAGCCAACACATCCTCATTGTCTACCTGCTCTGCACTTCGACGAACGCAAACAAACGATTTCACAGTGATAGATAAAGCAATAAAACCTGATAGATGTACGTAATCAATCTCTATCAAGCTTACCTAAACGCAATAGAGTACGGCGTTGTTTCACACGTCCCACCATTCTGACATGGATTGACCGCACAGACGTGTTCCTGCAGGTTGCACTGTGTTCCGTGGTAGGGTGACTTGCACTGACACCGATAGTTGAGCTGACCCATCGGAATACACTGTCCATTGTGAGCACAAGGATTGATCATACATGGACTACACTTGGCTGCAATCTGTAACGATTCCTTCTCTTCTGCACTGAATTGGCCGTCTCTTCTCAGTTCCAATGTGTCACTCCAGGCATCTTCAGGTATCTCAAGGTCATCAATACCGTGATCATCCACAAGCAATGCACTTGTTAGATCTTCACCAGATTGTGTCGAGTTTACGGAACTTAGACTAGCTCTCCGTCGGTAACGTCGTTTCCAAGGACAAACAAAATCTCCAGGTTTCGAGTGGTACAACGATTTGTATTGCATATTTGCTGGACTGTGGCAAAGAGCAACACCGTTGTCCAAAAACTGTTGGCGAAAGAAGCTGTTGAGCCACTTTCCGTTGCAGTCACAGTGAAATGGATTCTGTCCCAGAGCTCTGTTGACAATAGATTGTAGAGAGCATTGCTTATCAATTAACGTCACAACTAATGTGTCCACCTGTCACTGTCTAAGTAACACAACATCTGCCTATTTGGCAAAACTACACAGTAGTTCACTCAATTCCAAAGTCCTTGAGCTTAAACAATAGTCAGAGTAGGTATTTACCATGGTTACAAAATAAAAGTATCTTTTTCCCTAAAGCACGATCCTCAAAGGTCATCTGTGGCATTTTTAACAAAACAGTTTTGTACTCATTTCCTTTGGTTCAACGTGAATTTGACCAAGGATTTTGGACTCACAAGATGAGATTGTGCATGACTGATCGAAAAGTCCTTTCCCACTGGATGCGCGTGCTACAAAACTTCCGGGGGTAAATTTGAATGACTTATAGAAGAATTTAAGACTGGCATCCGAACCAGTGGCCATGATCATGAGTGTCTTGGTCTGAATAGCTGTCAGACCTTTCCGTGTATGGACTATCGATCTCGTGATTGAAGAATGGTTGGCGATATATATTCTGTCTAAGCGCGAGCTAATCGCACTGCTGATCACGTGGCCGGGTGGTTAAGTGTTCAAGTTACTAGTCAGGAGGTCACTGGATTCGAGACTCCCTGGAGTTTCAGAGCATCCGCGCTACTGTTTCCCAGTCAGGATGCACAGCTGTACAGTGCTTCTCGGCTTTTCAGCATAGGCAGAACGAAACCTCCATTGAAAGCATAGTGATTCTCAAACCGAGGAACACTGCTAGCTGAAAAGCCATTTCGAAAGTCTGCATAGGCAGTGTTACCTTCAAATACCTTTGTAATTTGCACCGAAGTCACCAAATTCGTCTCAATGGACTTCTGCGTTTTTTCCTTAGACACTATTTACAGCGGATTTCATCAAACGTTATTTACAACTTGATTATCCGTACATCAGAAAAAGGCGTTTTCAACAAAACAACAAGTTCTTATCACACATTACTCGACTGGACAAACTGTAAATTCTTCCTGGACAAAATTAAACACGTTATGTAGATCTTAATTGCGTTGAATAGAATAAATAATTCAATAAAAACACTGTTGCTAAATTTATTGTTACGCCGACCTCACTCACATATTGTTCAACTGCCCGAGTTCTTTGAATGTTCCATAAGGAACTGAAGAAATATTGTTCGCCTGAAGAATCCTAAAGGTGAGAAGAGATTAGACAAACAAATCCAAAGGTTTCCACTCACAGCACCCGCAGGCCTCCGAGTCCTTTGAAGGCATTTTGGTGGATACATTGTAGGTTGTTGTGGCTGAGTACTCTGCAAAGTGTATTTGAAATACAGTGGTGGTGAGATGTACAGTCAATGGGACTTTGAAGTTAATCAATTCTTACTGAGTAGTCCCTGTGGTGTGGGCCTCTAAAGGCGAATTCATCTTACCAGATACCAGTGAGCATGATGATCAGACAATCTGCCATGAGAACCAGTAGAAAATATAACATGACCTAAAAAACGACTCACTTTTCATGTTTTCACAGCACAAAACTCTTTGAATTTACGGTTCTTAATGCATCATTCCAGGAACTGAAAAATCGATAAATTTAGTTTTCATAACGCCTGGCGCATACTGCCCTCATGAGGAGCACTGCCGTTGGAGACCGAAGCATCATCTTGATGTGTTTCCGCATGATGACGGATAGCTTTTTCCCACATCTGCACCCAGGTGGACAAATTAAGCTGTTTAAGATGAGCTACGTGCAAAAGACCAACATCTCAACAGGAACACTCAAGGAGGACCGCATATTGGATTCACAAACGAAGAAACAAGGAACTCCTCGGAGTCAAGTCAACAAAGGTCACAAGCCGGAACTCGGAAGGACAAAGGTCACTCCAACATCGACCAGACTATAACGGCGAGGGATGCCAAGATCAAAGGTCACGTAGGCATCGGCGAACGAGGACACAGGATAAGAGAACAACCAATGGAACCGCCCGACCGGATAACTAATCGCGGTCGAGGGTCATCCCGGCTACCAGCAAGTATATCAACACACACGTAACACTATTCAGCGCACAACCACTAACCCACTGCTACTCACAACTACGCTCCCCAATAACGCTCTGATGATGTCACCTCGATCGGTGATGAAACGTTTGCAATCCAGTTGCCCAGCTCAGCGAACAAGCCAACGACCATCTACGCTGCCTGAGCTACCGACATTTTCCTCTATGAGCTTTCACAATTGGTGATGACGGTTATCGAGTGGGGGACCTGTTTATTGAACAGCATCCACACACGTAACTGGAAAAATTCAGGAACGTGGTGAACGTAGGAATCGACCATCAGCTTCTCTCACGTGACTCAAACTAAAGGACCCTTTTTAAGCTACCTAGACGGAATTGGACAAAAGCTACAAACGACGCTTAATCTGTTCGAGTATAGAAAAAAAACACAAGCAGCTGCAAACTTGGGTAGTCAGGATGAGTTACCAAGTCCTTTTTAAACAGATTTCCGTTTGTGTGAAGTACTGCTGGGCGATGCCTCACATAGATCAACCAAAAAAACTCAAGATCAGTTTAAGACTAGAGTGCATGCAACGCTGGACGTGACAGTTCACTCGCAAATGAGATTGTCATCTTGAAGTGTCTTCTAAGAGGGTGAGGCGGCCAGTTTGGACACAAAATGTGTTCCGCGTGGTTTCGAGGACTTGTTACAATCAAAACATGTCCATTTTCCAAAACTCGGAAAAATCCATTGTATTAAAATGATTGCTCTCAAGTTTCTGGCTTTGATTTCCCTGCTCAACCTTGTCCATGGTGTGTGGATGCGGAGAAAAAAACCACGCGCTGGGACGTGGATGTTATTGGAAACTTGAAGGATGGATGAAAAAACAAGAAATCACACAATCTCCTTGGAAAATCAAGGTATATAGAAAATTCCCACAGGTCCAAACCTCACTCACAGTGTCTTTAAACTTTTCAGAGTTGAGAAAGCATTTTCCTGCAGCTCTCGGATTTCATTGTAACTGAGTACTCTGAAAGCAGGGACACAAAGTGAGTGACCGATGAGTAGAGGGAGAGTTGACACACCGAATTACAAAGAAACGGATGTGCTTAGAGAAACTTGTACTTGGTCTCATAATAAATGAATAACACGAGCGAGTCCCACTTATGTCTTACTATTTGGCGTAAGGTAACTTTGAAGTCTACAAAATTGCTTCCCTTCTTGAACAGATGCTTCAAAAACCTTGAAGTAACGCATTCTAGGGACAAATGATACGTATTCCACTAGCTGTAGCAAAGCCACCCAGGGTAAATCACAGAATAAGATTTGTTAGAGAAGCGTACCCATTGATAGTCACTTTAAATTTGATTTTGAGAAAAAGAATAAAGTTAGATAATAAGTCTTATTTGGAGAAAGGACGTAAAAGAATCTGTCATTACCTCTCACCTCAGGTCTACTCGGATAGTAATGGTTACTGGACCTGGTCTGTAGAGGTAACTTTTAGAGGTGTGTCATCTCAGGGGTAACCCACTGTGGGATAACTCATGGGACTAAAGAGCTGTACTGTTGTTAGGCAGGAATCCACACGGATCCAACTATACCGCACGTCTTTAGGCGCTGCTACGGCCGATAAGCCTGGCCCGCTCGAGGTTGGCCAAGTACTCGGGACGCTTGTCGGTCCGGCATCAAGACGAGATCTGATTGGTCAACAATCTGGAACCAACAGCCAATCATCACCCAGCATTGGCCAAATGCCGGTTGCCAATGGCGCATCCAGAACGCGTCAGAAATTCCAGAAAGTTATAGCCGCTTACGCTATATATACGAAGCGTTGTACAACTGTTCTTGACTTCGTTTTGGGCATTAATAGACCTTTTGCACCTTTGGTGGTTGTTTTGACGTGAACGCTAGCTTGGGAGGCTCAGACCGAGAACTAAGCTGAGGAAAATACCGTTAACACAACTGTATAATGATCAGTAACAGCTGTAGCACTTTCGCTGCCTAGCTGCCAAGCCATCCGAAGAAAGCACGAAGGCTGGGATAGTGCCAGGTTGCCCAAGCCTAAACAAGGGAAGTTGAGGCGCAGAGGTCGGGTTCGATCGCTCAATTCAGCCTCAGAAGGTAGGACCTATCATTTCTAGCTCTAACTCTGTATATCGTGGGTGATTTTCAATGGAAATGACAGGAACTGTTTTGTTCCCGTCAACTTTCATTTGTTTACTTGGTAGTAGAAAGTGAAATTTTGCGACGGACTTTGGGGGCAAATTCTCAGAGTGAACATTCCAACTGTAAAAACGAACTTGTTTAACCCGCCTCGGTACTTGATTACTCATATTATGGGCAACAAATTAAGCGCATTACGAGCCCCAAAAAAGTTCTCATCATTTCTCTAGTGTGATGGATAACAGTTCCACTATCTGCTAGCTGGACATCTTGCCATGGGAATTTAAGTGATTTCAAATGGAATTTAAGTGGACTCATCAGAACTCTAAAACTTCGTTTTATTTCTTCAGGTTGAGAAGTGTGAACACGCTTATCAGTAAGAACGAGAGATCCAGCTGGGTTCCAGGTGAATCTCTCGAAAAAGCAAATTAGTTTGCAAATGAGTGCATATTCGCTACTTTCGTGCAATTCGGTTTCAAGTAGGACATAAGGCTGACGGAAACCCGGGGATAGCATCTACCTGGTGAGCCCCAAGAAGGGCGAACCGGTCGTGGGCTGTTGACGGATTTTCAGCAACCTTGTGAGTAGTACATTACAAAGACATACATGTATCACGATATCTCGAATATCGTAGCGGCTGAAACATGAAGCGGCCTGGTGTAGCACATTCAGTTGCCTGTGAATATCACAAACGAGAGATTCAGCTGAGTCTCCCGTGAAAACCTACTTGATTTGCAAATGAGTGTATTTCTCGAAAACAGTGCAACCTTGGGTTAAAGTAAATCGTAATGTTGACGGAGACTAGGGGT